AATTAGAAAATAAAAACAAGAAATCTGAAAACCATGCCACGCACCTGAATCAGTTGGAAAATTTATCGGAGGTAGTTCCCAAAGCAAAAGCATGGTATAAGCAGATCACTTTCCCAGAGGTCAGTAAACGCGTTCTTAGAACAACAGAACTTTTACTAAAATTTTCAGTTGTTACAGTTAACGATGTTTAGGAGTTTGAATGCTCACCAACTTTTTGAGAACGGTAAAAAAAATCTTGTTTGTTTAAACATTGGCCATTTTTGAGATAGTTGCACTTTGGAAATCACGGCATTTATTTAAACGTTTTTATGAAGTGATTGCTTGCGAGATGCAGATCATTTATCTATGTTTCACACGTTTTTTGAACTGAGTTGAATTTATGAGCTCTGCTTGGGGCAGGTTGTAATGGGTGATCTTTGGCACTTCAAAGCGAAAGTTTTGAAAGGAAGATTCATCTAAGTTAAGACCGTTTTTTGTTGTAGATTATAACGTGTTGCTCGTTGTAGCAACAAAGTGTTCTTACCAGTACTAATATTTAATCGCAAATACAAGTTTCATAGGAAACTTTTGTCTTTGCTTATAGCTCCTAGAATTAGAGAACATGTTATTGCATAGATTTTATTAAAAAGACAGAATTGAGGTCGAGCTGCAGTCTTCTGTTCAATGAACGCTCAGAGTAATCACTGTAAAGTTTTTACTTTCTCGGAATCTCTTGCATTGAATAGAATATAGTCAAAGAAGAATGCACTGGGATTTCTAAAGAAAGTTTTTTGGGTTACTGCTGGAAAGGCCTACGATATGGCGTTGGAGAGTTGCCGTCTAAATGGCACAACCTAAAAAAATGTAGCGCTGTTTACTCTTTTGGGATTAATTGTATATTCATGTATATTCATCTGTTTGAAGTTTTTGCTTAAGAGAACGTTAAAACTTATGGGGAGATTTAGTACGATTTTACTTGGATATCTAACTTACTGCAACATTCATTCAAGATTCTGGGTTTTCATCTTTGTTTTTGTCGCCTATAATGAACTTTTGCTCTTCAGCATCTCATATTTCAATAGTACCATTATGCGAATTTTCAAAAGAATGTTTTTATGTGAGATGAAAGTTCTTCAAAACTGAACTAAAGGCCTGGCTGAAAAGTTGAAAAAGAATCTATTGTTCAAGGTACTCAATGAGCCACCTTTTTTTTGAAAATTATTTCTCCTTCTTCTGGAATTTTTTGACAATATTTTGGCGACCTTTTTTAGCTCTTTGCAATACTTTTAACCTTAATTCAAAGTCAACTGCCTTGTCTTGTCGTTTGATTCATTTTGTTTTTGATTCTTCCATTTTCATACTGCATGTGATCAAGCAGTTCAACACGTGTAATCAAATGTTAGCAAGTG